CAGTACGATTCAAAAGCTCGTTATTCGACCATGTGCACACTCACTAATAGCTTCACCATTTAGGCTTGCAACAAAGGTAATTGACACTACGTCCGCACAAACTTGATTTAGCAAATTGCAGCTTAAAATTTGTTTTTACAGCTAGCCAATAAATAAAACAAAAAGAAAAGTCAATAACGTGCGGCTTGCTGGCACCCGACATACGCGCTAAATGTAGGCTGGACGAAAGCCGTCAAGCAGCAACAAATACGATCTTAATATCTCCTGTGCTTCGCTGCGCTTTTCACTATAATTTGTGCTGTCATGCGTATTTGTTGTTGTTGTTACTGTTGTTGATGCTGTTAGTGCAGCTACTGCGTACTAGAAAGTAGGCGGATAACGCTTGCTGCAATTTAAGCAGCAGACGCTACCCCACGAGCACCTTAAGCTACCGAAAATCCAAGCGTTCATTTGACAGAGTTGACATGATCATCAGTGTCACGCTGGACCTGTACCGGGATGACTCCGTTACATGATAATGTACATAAGATCGTTACCAAACACGAATGGTATGATAGGACAAACACAATATTCTCATAATATTATCCTTATAAAGATTGTTGCCGTGCAGATGTAACACACTGCTCATTCATCGATTTTGGACGAAGATACTAGTCAATTAAAAGTCTAGACACGACAGAACCACGCAAAGAGTGGTGGGCAGATAGTTACAATACGTGTTCGTAATTAGACATAGTCAAACGAATTCAGGTAGAGATATATTAAAAGGATTATCTATACCAAATACAATTCCACTTTTTTTCTTTACTGAGTGCTCTATCTCTGGTAAGCAATCTTCCTCTGCACGTACGTGTATGTGAGGTAGTCTGTGAAAGTTCATGATGCTTTGGTTTACACTTGTGCATTGGTAGCTAGAAGTAAAAGTTAAATGCATTCTACATTAAGTATTCTCCTTTGTCAATACTACAACATGCACCGCAACTATAATGTATCTTGACCGTGTACTTGCCTGATGGCATCCGTATTTCCTCCCTTTCTCGAATATCAGTCACACATTGCAACCGTATTGCCTTTCCCAACCGTCATTATTCAGTTCGCTGTCCCATCTGTCAAGTCGTCGCCCTGTCTCATCCGACCGATCATCTCCTCGTGAATCCACATGTCACCCGGTCTGACCACCAGCCAATCGGGTGATATTGTCACATGGTATATCGCTTGAACCTTGGAAACTATCAAACGTGATATTTTCTAGAAGTCGAACGCACACACCCTTGCACTGTCAGCAGTGCAAGGTTTATACGGTTAGCTGCATGAGGTGTGCCGCGTTACAGGACCTAAAGTACGTACTGATCATACCTTGTGTTGCTGCGCCTTAAGATATAATTTGTGTTGCCATTCGGATTTTCTTCTTGTTGTTGTTATTCTAGTTGTTGCTATCGATGTTTAATTTGCTGTAAGAGCATCTATCTGCGTACAAGCACCTCAAGCTACAGGAAAGCCACTCTTCTTATTTTACGAAGCTGACAAGGTCTCCTGCTTTTTTGGAACCTTATGAGTGGTTGTAGTATCAGAGTCTGCGGGTTTAGCGGTATACGTACTAATTTTATGGCCACTTTTAAAACTTTACAATACATCTTGTAGTATTTCATATCAACTGCCATACTTATTTATCCTGCTTCTAACTTCCTTCGTTAATTTCTGCTGGTCGTTTTCGTTTTAAGCGCATCACAAATATGAATTGACCACCATCGATCATCGTCAGCAGCAGAACATGTTGACGACCATGGATAGATTTTCATTATAGCCTTTTGACCATGGTGATAATTATAGAGACCATTAGCCGGTCACGACAATAATGTTTATTTGAACATAGCAGGCATCAAATGGTTCAACCGTGTCGATACTTGCATACCCCCCTTGTTAGCTACACCTCAATTCAGCTCCTGCTATCATCATCACAATTGCTATCTACATCATCAAAAGATGCACATTTTTCCTCAATAGATGCACCTTCGGCCAAAAAGCTCGACTCGAAATTGCGTCGCCACGATAGTAGCATGAGTTGCGGTTACAAAATCAATTATCATGCGTCGTCTTCCCGCTTCCTATCGACCACAACAATTCACGGTGTGGGGCTTCTCAAAAAAGTTATGGTATCCATAAATTTCCTCGGAATGTTGTGCTTCAACCTGGGTATTGTTACAAGCTCACCACCTGATCTGATGCCTGTCTCTCTCGATAATAATACTCTTCTGTTCTTCTTCTCGGTCGTAGGCAAGCCAAATGTCGACCTGCTGGACCTCTGCATGCACTTTATACTTTGCGTATTTATGCAGACATGCCTCAGTTCTATTGCTGTTGCACCAAGTACACGTTTGTTCTTTGATGTGAATAAAGCCTAAATTGCTCCAACATCGTTCGGCTCAGGCGGTGGATGAGGGTATTGACAAGAGCTTCATGGCAATCTATATTACATTAAAGTTACTACTTTACAATGTCAGACTATATAAAAAGGATAATGCTCAATACACCCCATCTTGTGCTAAATACACCCCGTACACCACACCCATATTACACCACAAATTGTTTGTACAACAACAACCGCACCCACTTGCTTTTGTAAAACCACTATCGCACAATAATCTGCATCAGTCGTACAAGTGGTACTTGGTTTACCAAACAAACTTCTCCTAGCCCGCAATAGACGATTAAAGCTCTTTGCTTTTGTAAGTGAGCTATTTGAAGAGCATGGCGCACTCGTCACTACATGTCGGATACATCTGGGCTGCTATTTTCATCTTCAAGAATTGGCAACAGCCATGGTTCAGTCGGAAAAGGCACAAAAATGAATAAAACAAAGGTTGACGTTTTACCGAACGTAATCGGATACATACCTCGTAGTGATGATTACGTCTAAGAACGATTAAATTTACTGTATAGCCAGGTGTAGTTTTTCGAGCCTACCCAAATCTGCATAAGGACCAGGTCACTGTCAGTCAAATAATAAAACGATTGTATAGCAGCACGACACGTATACGATCTCCATCATCCGATTTAATGTGTAATTTATGATTCTTCATAAGCATCTTGTATTCGGTGTATTTCACTTTGAACTTCGAACGAGCAACGTAGTCAATACTCGGATTTTCGGAACAACATGCGACGATGTCGTTATGTTCACCCTTCGGATGCTACACACAGACGATGTGTTTTTTTCGCAAGTTTATTTACTGTTGCTTACTGACAATTATACAATTCTGGTTCTATAGCGGGTAACGAGGACTGGGGGTTGGTTACGTGCTCGAAGCTGGTTTTCGACCGATGGAATGGTCATTTTGCAGTTACAACATAGATTGTAGAAAAAACAATCATTTGAATGACAGATGCAGACTGTTGTGCGATAGTGGTCGTGCAGAGGTTGGTCGGCGCGATATTCGTTGTTCAAAACGTGTGGTGTGGTACAGGTGTGGTGCATGGGGTGTCATAAATAAAAAGTGGAGTGTGTTTAGCAATGCCCTTAATAGAGGGGTCACTTGACATCGGTCGGTCACTCACATCCGTGTCAGTCACTAATAGCTTCACTCTTCGGGCTCGCTCAGCTGACACCTACAAATTCGAATTCCTTGATCGTCTCCGAGTATCGATCTGCGAGATGGTCGACTGCAGTGTACAGGGCTTATACCTATTTGCCAAATGTAGAAAAGTCTCAGCGGCTAGAACCACGAATTCAGTCCTAACATGTACTAGTTGACGCCGTTTAAGAGATGAGTTGGTTATTAAATGTTAGTGTACAGTGCTATACTATTGTCCTCATTGCGTATTGCATCCTCCACTAGCACTAGATTGCACAGATCCAGTATCTTTAGCGCTTTGACTGCTACGTCGTACGACGCTTAGAAGAAGACTGTACACAATTTGCTATTGTTAGCATGAAGCTCCGACAGACTGCTGAGCCAATAAGGCCCGGACAACGTTGAAGCAAGGGTGCTATGTTCGAAGCGTGTAACTAGTAACAAGGAAGTGCTGAAAAACATCTTTCGTTGCGGCATCAGACGCATAAAAGTCAGAAACATCACCACCGTAAACTTAGAAGTAGCTGAGCAACTACATTTACTCCCCCCCGGTTGCAATGGGCAAGAATAACGGTGGCCACTATAGCACACAAAGCATAAAATTGCTTCTTGCACGTCGACCTCACAATAGTCTTTTGTAAATTGAGTGTGCGTGAAGTTTACTTCACCGATACATGGTTGTACCGATCAACCTTCAAAGCGGTCACACCTAGATGACATGGACGAACCATTTTGACTTTTCGGATAGACATGCCCGCGTGAACTGCTGGGCAGCAACCCAGTAATCCAGCCAACCTGACTTCATACGGGCTGTCGTTGTTTTTGACGTGTCGGCTGTAGCTGGATGGGTATGATTGAGCACAAGCTTTGAGAATTTTACCTTACCTCACTGATCATGCAGCATAAATGTCAAAAGTGAAGCATTACAACGATTGAGGGGTAGTGCTGAATGGTGTTATAACCACTGACGTCGCTTTGCCAAATTTGCCCCAGCTGCTACGACTGTGTAGCAAGAAGTAAGACCAGTCTGACCATCAGAAAGAGCTTGACCAATGTTTCAAATACCCAGGCTCACCGCGTTCTTGTCATCGACTGCGACAAAACCTACACTTTTGCATCCCAAATTGCACGTCGTAGGTAACGAGACTGATATCGATCACGACCATCAATGGGTTTTCTTGGGCTCTATTTTGCTTGGCGAGCATCCTTGCTTGCCCGACATATATAAACGAGACGATTTCACGCTCAAAACCATGATACGAAAAGCTTCAACAACGATGTGTCAGCATTTCGCTGAAAACAAAAATTCCACATTGCACAAAAGCGAGCAAGTCTCTGTCTGCGGCGTAACATGTTTGACGAAACTACCAACAAAACACATCACATCCACAGCAACCAGTTATCACAACCAAAACAGTGTCATCATTACTATAACGTTGTAAAACTCTGCAGTCGCTCGTCTGATGACGAATGGCAGTGTTGAGCGACACGCTTGATCGCAGCCAGGAGATCTGTTGCTGCTTGTGCCATGTCAATTCCATATGAGTCCAGTTGCCGATCCGGTACTTGACAATAACTTTCATCCACCACAATCTCACGGAAAGCAGAATCAGTGAACCGATATTCACTTAGCTTTATCAACGGCGATGTTGCAATGCTCGGAGTAAATACAGTGTTGACGGTAGCTGACATCGACTTCGACAGTGCCACGTAAATCGTGTGCAGATAAGAGAGCACAAGCTCAACCAAGTCGATCAACTCCAACGTCGGCCGATACTGATTGAACGCAACTGCTTCACACACGATGCCGCCTAATTCGATCATCAAAACACAGCTGCATTTTGGCGAAGTCGAACCAGCAAGAATTAGAGAGGGAAAATTGGTATTACGTGCCCAGCGACAGACGTACCTGATTGTGCTGTTTACAGCAGGTACAAGCTTGATGAAGCATGCAACCATCCATTCCAAGCATGGCTGGAGCTCGCTCAGCTGAAAATCGTGGTGTGTAGAGCGACTCTCATTGTATTCACTTCCATCTCCAGCGACTTGCTGATCGCGAGAGTTGCTCATGTTCAGATTGGCATGATTCAGGACACCGCGTACAAATTGACACAGAGGTACCATCGTTTCCAACAAAGTCGTTGCGTCTTCTTGTAGCACAAAGACGAACGTTTCCCTCATAAAATCATTCAAAACAAGTTGCCGAAGCTGCTGGAGGCGAGCACACGACGTCAGTGAAGGCTCGACTCGAGAGTGCTCGAAAGATCTTGTACATCGACAATTGAACAGACCGCACGACAGATAAAATGCTTCGCGGCGAACTGTCCTCACATCAAGACTCAATTCGCACGAAACGCCATAGTAGCTATGGATCCCAAGAGGCCCATCTGGATCCAAGATGTTCATCAACAAAGTTCTCAAAGGGGATCGCTGCCATCCACCTCTGCAAGTTTGGTAGATGTCGGAGGTCTACATAACACGTTTTAGTATTCATGCTACCCAAACTAAAGTGCAAAAAAGTAGCGTACCTGTGCAAACCAATGCAACAAGCTCGGGTACTTTTGTCGTGCAAAAAACAACTGAACGCTGTCGACAAACCTTACAGCAGGCGAACAAAAACCTTTGCGGAGATCGTCGTTTACGTTGCGCAACACATTTCGCTGGCCCAACAAACGTTGATCCTCCAGGCGTTTAATTGCTTGCGGGTACTCAGCACTGTTCATTTGACGGAACAATAAATCCATTGCGTCGAAAAAAAGATTAGTGTCTCCGATCGCCATGTCACCACAATAAAACAACAATGCATCCATGCACTGATACGTGAAGCGGAACATCGTTGTCAGCCCCGTTAGCCTCTCGTCTGTAGCCGTCATTGTATCATCCATTTCGTGGATCGAACGTCCGTCATTAGTTCCTATTCCTACGCCATGCTGGCGAAGGAACAACTCGGCGAACGAATGCCAGCTGTGATTCATCTGGTCAATCTGACCACAGATGCGTCGGAAGTTCATTTTGAATGCCCTGGACCAAGTTGGACACACGATAACACAAGACGATCAAGTTGAGTAAGATGACAAGTAAAATCAGACGATACCAAATTTCGGCATCGCACTCACTCAAGAAACGATACAAAGATTCCAAACTGAGGGTTCACCATCTTCGCACGGAACTTGTTCAGCTCATCCCAGTTCTCTACAGGCGCAACTACGTACGAACGCCATATCGAGCCGGCACTTCTACAAAATGACTGGAACACATCCAGATGAAGATCATACAATTTCGAAGCTTCGTGGAGTTTGCCGTCGTTGGCAGATACTTCTGCCGGAAACTTGCACGTGGACGCTACGTCACGTAATATCTGCAGTAGCTGTCGGTCAACATTGCACAGCCCGACTGGCTGTTCGCGGCGCATATGGTAAATAATTCCATCCGATAGCATGACCCAGGAGTCAGAATACCTGATGGTGGAAAACGTGGTCGGATTTGTATCTGTCACTGGAGACATCCTTGAGTCTCTTGTCGCGAAAGGCACATCACCCACCTGAAATGGAATCGGTTCAGAATTTAGTGAATGAACATCCAACGTTCCCACCAGCCATGCTGCAATGAGTTCCTGATCGGATCCTCTTTCCCTCAAGAAGACCCTACCAAGCCATTCCTTTTCAGAATTGTACTTCAAAGCAGCACTCAACACGCGTGATACAACATTCCGATTCTTTAGCACCGCAGACATTACGTTGCTCCAAAAGGATTGAGCCCCGCATGTTGAAATCATCATACCCAGTAACTCCACCGCATACAATTCGTCAAACGCTGGAGCGGCGCTTGGGGGGTAATTGAGTACAAGCTGCTGCAATACACCTCGCAAGTTGCACGTGATCAGCTGGATCACTTTATCTTTGCACTCTTTTACTGTCCATACTGGAACAGGTGTAGTAGCATATCCAGCGATCGCAGCTTCGAGGTCAAAGGTCGCAAACGCCTCATCATTAAAATCATCAAACTCACATGTGAGACATTGCTTCGGCGTATCCGGTGCGCGCGGAAGCACAAGATAAAATATCTCCATCGCAATCTTCAAGTCATTGACAGCTACGGTCTTTTGGAGAACACCGTGCAGGCATAATTCCATACCAGAGCTAAAAACGTGCTCAAGACTCTTCTCCACTGCAGGTCCGTACGCAGGTCCAACTCTCACACCAGACATTGGTATATCCAGTAGTTTCTTGACCAGATCACGCATTTGGTAGAGCGGTGACATAGCAGCACCTACGAGCACGCATCACACGATCAGTCAATTGTAGTGCTGTTCATATTTAACATAAGGCTTACACTGTAATCTTCGGCGACTCTTGTGCAGGCCGTGCGTGCCGGCAGTCTTTAGACGAGTAGCTGCTGGCCTTTTCGGAATAGCAAGAGACGGACTTGCTTGCAGAATTTTCATGGAAGACTCGAGTCGATCATTTAGACTTCGAAACACTGAGGGGAATTCGGTGCAGTTCTTTTCCAAAAGGAGAGCGCCTAGTATATAGAGCGCCTGACTCGCGAGCACTGCACGATCAAGTGTATTCGACGTCTGACGAAAGATTTCCTTGCAGTAAAAGTCCACTTCTCGCTCCATGTATCGAACGTCCTTATCCGATCGATGGACTGGAAAGCGCTCGCAGTCACCACATTCTATACAGACTCCAGCAATAGCGAATGTGAGCAGCACTGCAACACTCATTTGTTCCTATACACCAGAGGTAACAAAACGGGTCAACGAGAGAGCAACGACGATTTGCCAAGGCATACAAGGTAACACCTTTCCAGCTTCAAAACCCGCAGGAGCTTGCTGTGGAGATACCATCGGTTGATTAGCTGGGTGGATACTAGCCGGCGTACGGTGTTCTAGACGACCCCATTTCCACTCTTGCTCCAATCCGTTCAGCTCGGTTTGTTTGACTGATTCAGACTGTGCAAGCCCCTGTGAAGTATCACGGCTGTCCAAAATATCAGATATTGCATTCAAAACGGAGCGCTGGAAGCGGCTGCGATGAACGCGCTTTTCAAGTTTCAAAATTTGGATCTGTAAAGTAGCAAAGCACAACGTTTAATTCCAAGGCGCGTCGAAAGATCAACGAATCGTACCTACCCAGATAATCTTGCACAACATCGTTGTCTGGTCTTCACTATCATAACTGGTCTCGCCAGCAAACGCAGCAAGACTTGGTCTCGAGTTCCCAAGATCATTGGAATGAGTGATGAATTGCTTCAGAAACATTGGTAGCTCGACAATGTCCTCCGAGCAACGTGGTTCAGCATAGTCCCTCCAGAGCAGACGCGAAACGGTCTCAACGATATCTGGTAACAAACGAGCTCTAAGCACAACGCATACAACGTATCTCGCAAGGAGTCAAACCTTTGCACGGACGCCACAGCTTCGACAACAGAATGATACGCTGTAATGTGCGCTGCTTGTGGACATCTATCAGCATTAAAAATTAGCTATATGACAAGCCAAGCAGATGCTGGTGAACCTACCAGCACGTTGTCGATAACCAGACTGCAAATTAATCCATTGACTGTGGGACAGGTCGAACGGGAGAAAATCTCGCTTGTCCGGGTGAAGGAGGTCTTTGACAAAAGCCCATTTTGCATCGCACCTGCTCTCAATATATTCGTTAGCATTTCCAATCAGACTGTCGTGATATAGACGACTTACACTGCCTCTTCGTGTCCATTAGTATCATCATCGGTATAAATTTGAACTAGCACAAAAAACAGGTTCCAAGCTGCATCGAGGGCCAATAGCTGGCTCTCAAAAACTTCGTCGCAGTGTTCCTTGGTACTATCACCATCAGTAGCTTTAGGCGCATCGTGTCGCAGATATCCTCCACAAGAATCGCTGCGAACGAAGCAACGAGCTAGCTCGTTGAAATACTGTTGCCGGTACACTGCTTGCAGCAAGGCCCAGAAACGCTTCTCTCTTGCCACAGTAGAATCTTGGCGGGACTGGTCCAGACCAGTCGAACTTGTGCAGCAAGTACGAACTAACATCCACAGCGACAGAAACGGGAGCTGACCACACGTTAACCGATCTTTCCCTGCGGCCGTCAAACGGTGAGAAGACGGAAGGTAAATATACAAGTCAAATAAGAAGAGCACTACAGCCAAAATGACCCTGTTGACCGGCAATGTCCGTGTTAGAGTATCTTCGATCTCCTTCTTAGTCGTCGCACATGGTCCAACCAGCCTTCCACACTTAGATTGAATGGCCACCAGCAGTTTCAGACAGTACCAAAATGCCCGCGAGATCGCGGTCAAAAGCGGCGTCGTTGTTGTGTTTCTCGAAGCTACCTCAAAAAAGAAGAAATACGCTTTGCACCCATTGAATAAGGAATCACAGTCGGGTAGCTGCCGAATCAACGTTGCGATTTCACCCAAGGTTATTGTAAGGTAGTTTGGTAAGATAGACGGATCGATCGTATCCAGATCCGCCAATACTTGGACAGCAAATTTAGCAATTGCCGAGTGGTATGCTTCCTCAAGTGAGATCAGCGAAAGCCATTCTGATGCTTGCGCATAATCCTCTTCTGCAACATCTAGTCCATCCATCGATAAGCAGTCCATAAAACTGTTTTCCTGCAACCGAAGATTATTCACAAGTTGACGAAGGGAAGCTACTCGATGGGAGACAATTCTACAAACACGGTCAGAGTCATCAAGCTCATATCCTTCGTCACACAGTATGTGATGGGGACTTGGAGAACCACAAATGTCGTAACCGAATGCGAGTAAACCTGCTTGCTCTAGGTGCGACATAGTAGCAAACGTGCCCCCATCCGTCGATGCGATAAAATTGTTTGACACGACCTCGAAAACGGTGTCCCAATTTATAGGAAACTGCTCCGCACTGCTCGGATATGCGGTAGGTTTTCCCGATCCAGCTGCCTGCAACATCCTTCCTTGTGGAGTCTCAGCAAGCGGTAGACCAGCTGGGATCACGGACTGGCTCGTACTCTCCACCCTTTGAAAAGTATACAACGATTCGTGTGGCCTATGCTGTGATGATGGCTGCGCACGGAACCGCTCGTTGCGAAGGCGCATTCGTTGTGCTTGAATGCACATGCTGTCGTCATGGCTAAACGCATTGTTGAAACGTTGCTTCTGGACCTTGTTTACGAGGGCTAAATTGGTTGATGACACATGTGTTCGCGGCCTACTGCCGCTCCTGATACAACGCTGCTTCTTTCGAGCCATTTTGAGCCAATTCCAGCGAGGATCAGTCGGACTTTTTGTCGCTTGTCGGCCAACAACTCGAAGATTTGACCAGAGATCAGCGCTTGACCCTTGACGAGGAAAATAGTCGCTCAAAGTCAACCTTTTTGTCACCTCTTTGCGGTGCTGCGGTGCTGCAGTTCGACAAAATTTTTGTCGACGCGATTTTTGCCTTCGCACGCGTACAGACTCGGTACCCACTTGTTCCGAATCGTTGTTATTGTTTGATTCGTCATCAGACAGACGTTCAAACGCAACATTGCTGTATGCCGCGGTCTCCGCGTTCGCCAACTCAGCTGATGCTATGGTAGCGTTTTCGTGTCCGTAGGAGTGGCTTGATTCATCACTATCAAATGATAAACGCGCAGCCTGGTCTTCACCCTCTTCTCTAATTTCTTCTCCGCGTCTTGCAAACGCACTTTCGACAGCTTTCTCGACATTTTGTGCCCATGAAGAACACTCGTTTAATTTGCACTGCCAGGCGTCAAAATCGCACTCGAGCCGCTCCAGTGCGCTAGGCTGGAACAATAGGGCGCAAAGTAAGTGACGAATTTTCAGCGAGACATGCACGTAACCCAGCGGCGCAGCTTACCGGCGACCCGCGCTTTGCGTGGAGATTACCTATGATCGTATTCATCACATCCTCGCCTGCGTTGACCAGTGTCTTTGTCACGTATCGTCGCAAGTCGCGTATCTTGGGTCACACAACAAATACAGTAAGAAGTTGGTTTCCATGTCCGAGAGCAACACGTCTCACCTTACTGTGCAAAACACAGAGAGTATCTATTGGCATCTCCACAAGATCTTTGATTTGCTGGTTCACTATCCTCTGCTCATCGTGAAAGCTGGCCATATTCCTCTGCTGCTGCGCAAATACGTCTCTGAGTTGGTCCATTAAGCCCTTTTTCGTACTCGCCAGCTGTAGTCCAGTTTCTCGAATGACGTCGTCCGGAAGATCAGCTGGATTACCTTCCGGTTGAATAAACAAGACATCAGCATCTTCTCCGTGCTTTTCATACCCACCGATGTAACGCCGACGCTTCGGTTTTAGCTCCTGTTGTTGCGTAGCATCCTCACGACCACCACCGTCCAGCCTTGAACCGACCCGTGATTCGCTACTATCCGCGTCCGTAAACGATACAAGTTCCGGTCGGTTCAAATCTCCACTTTGGTCACTACTCGCACCGCCATCATCCCTATTCTCGTCACCACTGCTGTCCAAAATACGGTTCCGCCTTCGTCTACATTGTTCCACTACGGGGCTCTGTACCTCGACCGCTGATTGTTCACTTTCATTATGCAAAGGACTTGACGGTCTCAGTGACTTGTCCGTCTTTTTTAGCAGCACAAACATCTCCTCATCAATTTTGGACACTTTTCGACGTTTCTCTTTTGCTTCACTTCGATATTGTTGCCGCCTATCGAGCACACACTCAGCACGATTCGGAAGCTCCCGTTTTCTCGGACGCAAGGTCTGTTGCTCATTGCGAGTCGTTATGCGTTTCCACCTTTCAGCTTCTCGCTGCTTCCTCTCATGCGGCTTATTAATAAAATCATCTACACATTGCAAGAAACAAACAAAAAGACATTGCACAACAAAATAAACAAAACCTCCTTAAGCAACAAATAACCATCATCACGAGCACGATATAAAACCCTCTAAACAATCTCATAGCTTTAAAATGCCGGTTTCTACCGTACCGTGATAATAATCTCGATCCACTTTTTCCCGGTTCGAGTGTTTGTGTAACAGCTCCGACGAGTGAACCCACTTGCTTTCAATATGGCGCTCAAAGCCACCCAACACGTAACGAACATCATAGAAAACGTCCTCGGACACGCCTTCTCGGTGGACACGCTCGATCCACCCAGCACCTCCCAACTTGTTAATACCTGGCCACGTACGCGATTCCACCTCCACTAACGTCTTCACCGCTAGCACACAGTGGTCGCTCTCGTCTTCATCCTGTTGGCCCTCAAGCTCTTTATCCGTGACAACCGGTTCATGAATTTGCTCTCCAACTGATTTACCGTTTGCTTGCGGTTGCTCTCCAACTGTTCGACCAGTAACTTTATCGTGCTCAACATCTGTTGCAACGTTCAATAGCAAGTGCTGCTCTCCAACTGTTTGATTGGCATCATGCTCTTTAACTGTCCACTTAACTGCTTGTTGCCTTTGTTCCCGTTTCGCGTCGAGAGCTTCGACCCTTTCGTAATCAAATCTTGCAGTGGGTTCAGTGCTTTGATGATCAAATTGGTATCGCTCTTCAGCCAGCGCCAGAGCTTCGAGCATCTCCCGCTCTTCTTCGTCGGAATCAGCCACGAAGTCCGCGTCTTCCATCGTGACTTCTTGCTGTCGAAACCGTTTTACCGGAGCCGGAGTGATGGTCGGTATGACGACACACTACCGGTAAATACCATGCCGACCCTGAGATTGGACCTCCTCTTTTAATATCAGTACCTCCGCAAACCTTAGTGCCAAAAAGTGGGACCTGTCCCAAAAATGTAGAGCTTGTGTCTCCCAATCTAGTGTGTGCTGGACTACGACACACCACATGTTCTAACATGGCCGAAAAAAAACACACGTGCGAGCAACGATCGGGGTGGGTGATACGACAGAGCCCTATCATGGTACACCAAGCATTTCTAGTGTAAATGCTCGCGTAACACTGAAGGAGTGAGAAGGGGAGTGATGTTGGACATAAATCAGCTTTGTTCCTGCAAACTTACAGCATTTGAAACCATGTACACTGCGGAATAACTCGATGACTGACTCAGTGCCCCGGTCACGAGTCGTGCTCTGCTATCACTCCTGTACCATATTTGGCTCGATCTTTGTCTCCCAGATATTTGCAAAGTCTCGCTTACTGCACTTTTGCGCGCTATAGAGAAGTTTGTTGACCTTCATCATCGTCCTCTTTATCTGATCCTGGCTCTGCTCCGGACCATTTCCATACCTGTTTGGCCTTGGAACGAGTAGCTTGCTTACGGAAAACCTCTCATCATTCCAGCTTGCAGCATCCAGCAGTTTGTATTGCACGCATTACGTTCAACACATCAGAGAGCACATCTTTTCAAGAGCGCGTCAAGTGTAAAGCCTTTCCACATAGATCCTGGGATTGTGAGCTGGCATGAAGCTGCAACTTCACCAGATAGCTTAGGGATCATAATGTTAGTGGTCTAGGGGTCAATTGCCAGGTTTCGCGGGTTCAGTGGCATGCTGCCGAAAACATTCTACTAATCGTTACTCAGCTGTCGCGGTAATCTTTTGCCGCAGTTTTCTCGTAGCGTATTCGCAAAGCTTAACGTAGAACCGCGTACTGGTGCGTCGCAAAGCTTCCCCAACCTGCAAAAGATCGACTGCGACGGAAACGATTTCCAACAGAAGAGGTTCAACAGATGCGGAAAACACTCAGGCGTACCAATCGAGGCGTGAGATAGTATGACGGTAGACGTTTTAGTTTCAATGAAGATGATACCAGCAGCTTGTCGTGCGAACGGTACCGTGAATGTGGTGTATTTAGCTCTCCACACACTACAGCAAGTCGTATTAGTGCTACAGCTGGGGCAGGTACTTTTGTTAGAAGATTAGGTTCGCGGATGTGCTCGCAGTGGGAAAAAGCTCCATGACATCATCGCATATCATCGTAGCTGGCGACTGACGCAGATACAGTGTGTAGCACTCGATCCATCATGTGGTCTTTAGCTGGATTTTCATCTCCGCTAGGTTACCAGATTTGGTGCGCACTGCCCTCGTGGCCGCTAACGTATGCGTTTTCTTGACAATACGAAAGCTCAATTCGTTATTGCAGTTCAAAGTAGTGGTTTTACCTGCATGGGCGTGATTGTATATGATGCATGGGCGTTGTATATGATGTGGCCCGTGCACTCGGCAAGATTGAGGCTTAGTAAAGCAGGTTACAGAACACATCAAAGTAGTCAAGATCGATCATGCATCTAGGCAAGTAGCAGGCATTCCCGCAAAAAGTTGGATGGTCCTGTCACAAATGTACATGTGAGTATCCTTACTCCGACACTGTAGTGACGTACGTTTGCTTGTAAAACGAAGTCCGTCTCGCAAATCTGACGCGTGCAAAGGACCAAAGATGGGCACCATTCTACGCGAGTATAGCTTTGTATATGCTGGAAGGGCCAGTGTCAAATACTACAGCCCTGTCGGGACTCAGTTGGCGGAGTCCAGCAGTACAAAAAGCCGATTTAGCACTGTGCACCACACGCGAGATAACAAATGATGGCCCACGTTTTTGTGGTATCGTGGATCCACCAGCACGAAATGCTGTCCCTGGCTCATTGTGGCAAGCTGCCGTTGTGAGCAAACCAATGCCACACACTTTTGTGTCGATTTAACACATGTGATCTTTGGGGGACATTATCGATGATGAGATGTGTTGTAAGAAATGGGCGACAACCATCAGACTGTCGATGATGAAAATAGTCAGCAAAAATACGATCCCATCGCTCAACTTGCTGAATGAAGTGGCGAGAATTTGATTCGAAAACACAAAGAACTTGGATTTCCACCTTTTTGCTGTACTCCTTTTCGTTCATTTGAACATTTTCAAGCAAAAGCATTTGCCGAGATCAGATCAGGAACAACAAAGTAGTCATGATGAATGCAGACGCTCAGCTTGAAGACCTGTTACATGCCAATGGAGACAGCCACCTGTATGATCAAATCATGCAACTAGGCCACCCACCCGTAGTAATCTGGTGGCAAGCTGTTGATGGATTCATTCAAGCGATTGAAAGTGCTCGAGCTATAGCGGAAGCTCCAGGAGGAGAGACATTACCACTTGATCCACTCGCGTTGCCTGCTGTAGTGACCGTGAAGAAGTTCAAGGAAGCTGTGCTCGACTATATCAAGCCCAATGAAAACGCACACCCGTTGGGTACGTCATGTCTGTTGTGTTCGCTGCCGGAGTCGGTAACGGTGGGATACAAGTTGTGCGCTCTCGACAATGATCCATGGGTCCTGCGCGTCACTGCTGTACAAGAGTCAAACATGCTACCAATCGCAAGTGTCTTCATGCCGCGTGGTCTCCGAGCGAGTGCACTTGACCAAGTAACACCGTGGCTCAAACCTCATCTTCGGGCTAGTCTATGGGAATAATCGAGGCTCACCTATCACCCTTCCAAACATTTGCTTTGGTCCATTTCGCTTTTTATTGCGCTAGCCATCTTGCGTGCGAAGAAGTGGAAGGCCATCACAAGAACAGCCGATCCTTCGTTTTCTATCTTCACACAATCCATGACATTTCAACCATAATTTTGTGCTACGAACACAGCCCCCTTTTACTTGATGCACGTACACGTGCCCACAGTTCTTTTCTTAACAGATCATGCGTCAGCGTACATTCCTTCACTTTTGAGCAAACAGCTAATGGCGGTCACTAAATCACTCTGCGCGATGTCAGCACTGGGGTCGGCAATTTTCTCCATTAGCAGTCGGTCTAAATGGTAGCGAATAGACTTGATTAGTACACCAATACGAGCAACGGCAGTAAAGCGGATGAAGTTGTCCAGCGTAAGCAAGTTCTTTTCGTGAATCACTTCGAGATGACCACCAAATAACAACAGCGCGTACGGGTTCACCATAGTGCTCTCTCGCACGAAAATCTTGGAGGTTTGTACCAATTCCGTATACAACAGCCAGGGCGAATCGTAATTCGTTTGTGAAAAGTTGCATGACGACGGATGGAGGAACACACGTTCGCGGTGGCCTGCCTCTGCCGTCGAGCGCACGAAATACCGGATCTGCTTCGCGTTATGATCCCCCTCGACTACACCGTGGGCAGACTGAAAGTACTTCTGCTCCGGGTACACCACTTCCACCACATTTGCGTACAGACCAGCACAAAGCGCGGCTTTAATGATGCGCGGCGAGTCCGAGTTCTGATCAAGATCGTTCCTTTTGCTCGAGTCATAAAAGCCAATGTTGTCCAACTGCTGTAAGTACTGCTGCTTTAGATCCAATATCGATTCCATCGTATCGTACGAAAGCCCAGTGTCGCGACAAAATCCACGTTTCATTCCCTGGCCCCGCAAAGGCGTATAGCGCTCGACTAACCTCCAAAGTAACAAATGGTCACTTTTCCAGCTGCCACCAAGCTCTCTTTTTAGCGCATCTTGCTTAGCACGCATCTCTGGGTCCGACACATTTGTCAAAAATGGGTTGCGGCTCGATATACACGCCGCAATAACAGCCACGGGTTGGATGCAACGCAAGATCGATCCGTACACTAAGAACTTGCCGATCCGTGCGTCGAGTGGCAGCATGGCCAGGTGGTTACCAAGTGGCGTCAAAACTACATCTTCATCGTCAATGCTCTGAATGTCTTGGCGAAGGTTGTTCTCGGAAGAATCGCTAACCGTTCGAAGTGCTGCGATATTAACCAGTTCGTGAACGGCTGCATCAATAGCAGCCTCAGCAGGCGGCTCAATAGCTTTCGAGAGAAAACCTCTAATTGAGCCAAGTTCCAGCTTCTTGATTTGCAAACAGAGCTGTTCAAGTGACACACGATGGATCTCAGCAGATAACTGAGCCGTCATGGCGGCAAAGCGATCTCGCGAGAACAAGCGGTAGCATGTGCCGGCCTGAACACGTCCTGCGCGACCCTTGCGCTGGTCGCACGCTGCACGAGACGCCCAACAGTCAAGCAGCTGGGATCGCTGGGTTTGGCTATCATATACCATCTCTTTCACTTTTCCAGAATCAATCACAGCAGTAATGTCATCGATAGTGATGGACGTTTCGGCAATGTTGGTACTCACAATGATCTTTGTCTTGCCTGCGGGAGCAGACTTGAACACCACCGCCTGATCAGCTCCAGAGAGCGAACCATGGAGGGGCAATGCCCACACCTTGGACGATAGTTCACCACTTCCGTGCGTCAGCATCTCGAGCAGCCGCCTGATTTCGGCCGTGCCTGGCAGGAAGACGAGGATCGCTCCATGATTGCTGCTAGCGCATTGAATCTTTTCCAATACAAGGAAGCGAACCAAGTGTACAATAAGATCATAGTCGATCTTGGAGTCGTCAATGCGTGCCGCAATTTCCTTTGACGTCAGCTTGTATGTGTCTTTTTCTTCCGCACATTCATCAGCACCCTTTCTTTTACTTTTCTTCTCTTTCAGCAAATACTTCGGTACGTCGTAGTGAGTTTGGTCAAGCACCTCCTCCAGAAAGTTGCAGTCCACGGGAAAGGTAGACCCTGGGATGTCTAGCACAGGACACGGCGTGCCCATCGTCGATGAGAAGTAGTTCACAAAAAGGTCTGAGTTCATCGTAGCACTCATCAAAATGACACGCAGTTCTGGACGTTGAGGCAGCAAGTCGCGAAGGATAGACAGCAAGAAATCGGTATCCACGTTGCGCTCATGAACTTCGTCGACAATCACATGCGAGACGCCGGATAACTGCCGATCATTGAGCAAACGCCGAAGCAGGACACCCGTCGTGCAGAACAACAATCGCGTATTCGATGACTTCTTTGCGTCCATGCGAATCTGGTACCCAACAACATCAGCAACCTTTTCACACCGCTCTTGCGCAACGCGAGTGGCCACACCGATAGCAGCAATTCGCCGTGGTTGAGTACACATGATGAAGCATTCACCACCAGCGCCACGATCAATGAATTCATCCAGAATAAATTGCGGGATCTGAGTGGTTTTACCACAACCCGTCGCACCACAAATGAGCACCACTTGATTCTCGTGTACACACTTGATTACTTGCGCTTCGTTCTTGCTTGCGGGAAGTTTTGAGCGAGCAGCAACCATCTGTCGGAAACTAGACTGGTCAACTTTTGCTTGCCTGGACTGCAGAAGTTTTTCACTCATTCGACGCATAGCCTCCACATCAACCGATCTTTGCTGGTTATTTTTCACACTCCCACTGTGATTGCCACCGCGGCCGTTTCCTTGTTTGTGTTTCTTCGTTTTTGGTGTGTCACGAGTTTTATGGCTCGGAGTCTCAGCTGTACTCGCTTCCGGTACAACAACCGTTTTCAAAACCCGGATCCTGGACACACTGTTGGAGAGCCGACTTTCGTTCTCAAAGTAGGCATCAATTGCAACGTAAATATCGTACAGCATTGGTTCGCCAATGGAATGCCCACAGCTTTTGAGTACTTCGCCGTATGCAGTAAGAAGATGCGGCTGGTGTGTTGCCTTAGTGGAGGTCAAGGCAAGCAGCGGCATCTCGAATGGATATCTTGATGTACTTGACAAGAAAATTTGCAAAGCAAGACCGTCGGCAACTTCAAATGTCAGGATATGGGTGCTTGAGCCATCCTCTAGCATTGTGACCTTCAACTTTTCATCGAAAATCGCCTCCAGAGCAAAGATCTCATCTCGACGCAGGTCTAGCAGCTCTTCAACGACAGGAATCGCCAGTGGCCCATCAGTCTCTTCGAAGTTAAAGTACTTTTTAACGTGCGGAAATAGCTTCTCAAGGAGAGCAATGATTGTCAGCATAGACGGTGCTTTCAATTGTTCTTCACTCATACCAGGATGCTCTTGTACATACTGGTTCGTCACGGAAATAGCATCCTGGCGGTCGTACCCAAACTTCATGAGCCTCTGTATTAACACAAGTGTAGGTGCCAATCCGGCTTTATCTATCGACGACGTACTCAGCACAACATCCAGCTGCGTCCCCTGCGGGTTAAACTTCCTCGGCAACTCCTCTTCGGGGATATTCAAACACAGCCAATCAAAGATAGCCGACATACGAGCATCGTCGGCATCACCATTACTGCTTGAATCATACGAACACTTTTGTAATGCTTGCTGGATCTGAGCAGGTGCAAACCCAATCGCTTTAAGTCTCTGTATGGCCTTCGTTCGAAACTTCTCCTGTTCTAATTGTCTCAGCTCAACAACATGATCGTTCTTCTTCTGTAGTCCATCACCAAAATTCGTCTGCGTCTCCTCCAGTTGCTTCAAAATGCCTTCAATCAGGTTCCGACACGATGCACTCATTATCACCTGCTTTGGAAGATTAGCTCTCTCTCGATTCTCCCGAGAGCGCTGTTTCTTGTTCCGCTCTTGCAGTTTAGCAAGCCGCACTGCGTCAAACTCTTTCTGCGACGCAAACTTCCGATCCATCGTCAACACGACTGCCGTTTTGTTCTTGTCCTTGACATTTCCATCGTGGACATCACCTTCTGCATCATCCTGTGCCCACAATTCCAACCCTCCTTCATCGTCCATCAAAAGAGTCGCCTGTTCCGCTTTCTGGACATCCTTAATTTCGGGTTTCAGCCCCTTCTTTCCCTTCTGGTCACTCTTCTTTTCCGACCCATTAGAAGAGGAACCCAAAATAAGCCACAGGTCCCGATACGGGTCCGGCAGCTTCCGTTCATACGGACGCAGCGGCTCCACGTGGTGAAGCGCCAGTAAAGCAGCACAGTGCTTGGCCTCCTCCATCGTCTCGAACTCCTGCTCCGGACAAAACGTCAAGTCTTTTTCACGGTCTTTCCCGTCCGGCAGCACGCACCGCAGGCGGAATTTCGTGCTGTCGCGGCTTTTGGCACGCGCGTAAAAGGCGCTGCGTCGCTTCTTGGCTTGGCAGAACTCCTGCAGGAGCTGCATGGGCGTGCGCTGCCACTCTTTGCACAGGACGCCTTGCTGCAGCGTGTCTTGCTTGCTCACACTGACGGTCCCCGCGCCGCGCTGCCGGTGGCCAGGCTGGCGTTGACGACCCATAAGCGTATGTTGTTATTTTGGGTTATCGGCCGCTGTGGATAATCGCTTTAGTGACATGGCCCCTGGTTTTTACGTGTTATTTGACAGTGTGGGGGGCGGTTTAAACGCTTTTTGCCGACATCGAGATCGAAAAAGGACGTTAATGGGATGTTTTAAGTGACGTAAGAACCCGTTGTTCGTGATATGGATTCCTGATGGTTGGTAGAGGCTACATGCGTTTCGAACAGGACACTTCTTTTAGTTCTACGTTGTCAGCTGGTACTCCTGTCTACCAAGACAATGCACAAATTGCACTTCTTTACTGGCCCACTACTGCATACTCATCGAGCGTTAGCTGATCTTTCGGTGCAATGCCAATTTCGTTGCCCATCGTTGTCGCTTGGCAGCCAGATTGTCGTTGTGAAGCGGACAATGCTGTGCTTGCAGCGGGATGATAGTCGACGTGTACAAGGTCTATCAAAACTGGCGCATAGAGGAAGCAGAACGTACTTGTAGTTTCAGTGTCGGTGACGAAAGTGGTCTTACGATGTTCGCCCGATTGTACGCATGTTGCATATCACTAGCAAAGATAGCGAACGCCCAGTTATTCGCTCACGTTTGGACCATCACACAGCGTACAGTGTAACTTCTTATGGTGGCAGGCAGGATTGGTTTTGTTAGTATCGTAGACGAGAAAGCCTTACGAATCTAAACTAGATTCCCTGGCATCACCGAGTTGCACCTCGTGGATATAATAACGGTGTGCTGATGCGTTCCTCAGTAATATCGTTTGTATCGACCTGGCATATATCGATGACGTCCTTTCACTTCATGTGTGTACGTGTCGATGTAACTAGAAGCACTACCTTGGAAACCCGAGATCACTCCTCCGAAAACAATCTCCTTCTGTAATAAAGCTTTGCTATGTGAAAATGTGGCGTGAGCAGTACAACAATGTTGTGTCCTTCTACCACTACAACGATTTCGCTGGAATCGAATATTTGTCCAACAATGTTTGCCGCTAAGAACGTACAGTGCTCTCCCTGATAGCTTTCCCCCGATAACTAATAATCTTCGCTATCTTGTACGACTAGACATCCACCGAGGTCGTTCTATGGTCGCTAACTTATGAACATTAGCCATGAAGCTACATTTACGTTTCTAGGTGAATAAATGGTACCAACTGTGGGGGGGTAAATTTATTCAAGCCAAGCATCGAGGGTAATTTGTGTAGCGTTGGCACTGCGAATGTCATCCTGTAGGCTGCGGAGTAGCTTGGACGTATAACGTTAGGTTTCCTAGAGCAGATAACGCAAGGTGCAGGCACTACCTAAGATGGGGATCTGCTCGCACTCAGTCTATCTGTCTGTAAATTGCCCCCACACCTCTGTTTCAGCTCCTCATCTTCATTCCTCCTCTTCCTACACTGCGTTCAGAATCTCTTGATCATTGATCTCTGGCTAAGTGCTCTCGTCTCTTTTTTAAGAGTTGACTAGCTCATCAATGGAGAGTCAGCCAAAAATCACACCATTTTCTAACGAAGAACAACAACCCCAGCAAATGCCCAGGATGGCCAAGTGTCTCCGAACTTGAGGCACACCCAGAATCGATCTCATAAGCATAAGTTGAGGAGCTGTGTCAGTCGTCTTCAGGACTATTCTGCTGATTTTGGGTAGATTTTTTAGGTGTGGAAGAGGAGTGATTGGTTCTCGATGAGCTTCCCACTATTCAATCCTTTCGTTCGTGACTTTACGATAGTGTATCTGGCGAATATTTAGTCTCTTTTACTTTTGTTGTGTTATTATGGTTTATGAAATTTAATTGACATGATTCCCTACGCACGACGGCACCTTTATCCGATACCAAATAACCTCTGCCAACGTAAATGAGCCCACCGAAGACCTGTAAATGAATGAGTAACGTTCGACACGCATGAACGAAAGTCGTTGCAAGTTTATTATTCGGATGCTAATGCACGCATAGCGGGTAAAATGTAGTCGATTTGACGGATGTTAGTCGCAAGGTTTAATTCGATTCCACTCGCGTCCCGATCGCTAACTGTTTGTCGATCTGACTGGCTATTGTGTTTGCGAATGTATCGGTCGATTAGCTGTAAGCAGCAAATTTACAGTGCTTGGTTGCAAGATATGGTGTTAAATAAGGAGGATTGTAGGCTGGTGCCTAGCAGAAGTAGCAAGTGCTGTAGCGGACGCCTTCCAACTGACTCCCATCTGCAGTCTCGAATCGAACATAAAAAAACGCATTGACATGTCATATCTTTTATCAGATCCCACTTGAGTACGAATAGTAGCCAAACGAGGTCGATTTGATCTGATCAGTGTCCAGGACCAGTGAGCCGAAAGGGAATCTGCGCTCGATTTATTTTCCACCACTCGTTGCTCGCGACTTCTCCGTTTTTGACCAATCCCTTTGTCCCATCCGCTCATCACCCGTGCCCGTCGTCGCTCCCATCGTCATGGCGTCGGACCTCGTCCCGCCCGTCTCCACGCTGCTGCCAAGCGTCAATCCATCAGACACGTCCGGTGGACACAGCAAGAACAAAGACGTGTACCTTTTCCTGGCACAAGTGCGCCCTTAGCCGTTGCATCTACTGGCGTTCGGGGCCGAGACCGACGTCGAAGGATCTTTCCCTGCTGTTTGATGTGGCAATGGCCGTATCCAAGCCCGAACTCGAGTTTCTGACCACATTTTGCAGGTTTTACAAGACGAGAAGAAAGTCAGGAATCGTCTACGTCTTTGGCTGGTGGCTGTACTGTATATTTAGGCCATTCGGCTGCCAAACGTGTAGCTCTGGATACCTCTGGAGATCCTGTCGCTTGTCAAGAGCTCAGACAGTGTGAACTTTAGTGTTTCATACTTGATTTGGATGGACACGCTGGTGACTACTGAAATCGGGGGGTTAGCTGATTGTCGAGCGTTGCTGCTAGCAATTGTGACTGGACTGGACCAGAGTCTGGACAAGGAGATCAAGGTGTTTAGTGTACTGGAACAGTACTTGGCAACATACAAAAGGGTAGACGGACAAGGAGCAGACGCTTCGTGCATGTAAGATGGTGCAAAAGAAACCGGTGGTGTGCTTTGTAATGGCGCGTGTGGACTTGGCTGCTTTGCCAGTCGTCAAAAAAAAAGACCTCGTTTTAACAGTGATCCGGTGTATAATTTGCTGGATATTGTGTTAACTAAGACGCTGAAAGCGTTTACGATTTTTGGTACAGTGCGAAGAAGGTGATCGCGGACAACGAACTGGACGAAGCCAGCGTGGCCATTGCCATGCGTTTAGTCGCGCATTGCTCCAGAGTTTCCAAAACGTTCGAACGTTGAAATGGCGATGGTCCTGGATGTGGACGAGGAGGATGCGGAGCAATGGGTCCTGTGACCATTGGGCTCGTGAATGCCAAGATTGACCAGCTTGCTCGTACTGTGACGACTCGCACTCACTACAACGCTGTATCAGAATCGATCAGTGGGAGGAGATGCATGCAAAGCTGTAATTCTACAAAAAAACTTTGGTGGCATGCTGGATGTTCTTATGAACGCCCATCCTGCTTGGAAGTTCAGTCAGCAGTCACGGAAGGTGTTCACGTGAATACGACAGTGGTATAGTGTCATCGACATCTTGGACGAGGTTGTGCTTGGAGTTCTCAATCGATTGTTTGTGGCTCATGTGCGCAGTACAGCTCGTTGGTTGACCTGCCTTGTGGATTTTTATCTGTGGTTACTTATTCGAGCCGCTAAAACTAGAAAGTCGTTGCTAAGCGAATAGCGACAGCGTTTACAAGTCCGGGTCCGGCCGACTTGGTGGACAAGAGGCGACTTTTGTATACAATGTTGAGACCGCCAGCGGTGTAGAAACGAGTGTCAATCTGTTTCTTATGGATGAAATAATAGCAGTTGAAGCGCATCTGACAACGTCGAAGTGGAGAGATTGGCTATGGCAAAGGTGGCGTTCCTATAGCGTGTGTTACCTCCACAATGAAAAGTCCAGAGGCCCATTTCTTGCGAGGAAGAGAACCTGCACAGTCGGTCAACAGATGACTTTGCTGAAAGAGTACGCCTGTATCCAAGATTGTCAAGGGATGAATGACTTTTCATGCGCAGTCAGCGCAAAAGGTGAAAGGATGGGGCAAGTACGCACGCAGCCGATGATACACAACGCACACAAACGACTTCTGAACCAACTTTGCTGGTAACTCAGCAACTGCGTCAACACATGCCTCGTCTTTTAGAGCAAATAAACACCTTTGCAACTTGCGTTAATTCGTGACGTTTACCATCTCTACAAATCAGTGTCAATGTCGTATCAAACAGCAAGATGTGAAAATCAACGCAGATTTGCTACCGGATAATACGTCGCGGGTCACCATCGTATATCGTATTGTGTCTTTCAATCGTATGGGTAAATAGCTCTTTCATTATTCATCAGAGCAGGCTGACGTACCACTCGCCAGAGTGAGCCTTGTCCCGGCAACAATTGGCTTTCCCATCGAGAAACAAAGCAAAATCGTCGGCGAGATTATTTACCATTTCGTCTGCGATGTCGTCTCCCGGAGATCACACATCATCTCGAAGGCTCGAAGAAGCATAGTCTCGTATTTTCCACTCAAAAGAAAGGTCACGCAGCGAATAGCTATGAGTTTCGCGGTGATTTTGAAGCTGAACGTATTTGATCTTTTCTTACCACTAGCCTTGTTTGGTGTAACTCACACCTAATGGTATCAGTTATCCAGTGATATAGAGTAAAATGAATATCATCCCTCCTGATTGCGCAAACGTCATCACCTGTTAGGTCTAGCATAGAAACTATGAATGTAAACGAATGACTGAACCTCGATCAGCCCACTAAACAAGCTAATATGGTTGCCGATAGGATTGACTCTTCTTCAAAAGACGTTCAATAACCGGAAGTTGCTCTAGTGTGCCATTATCGACAAATATGAGGCTTTCGGTATTGGGCGATCAAGCAAGTTGTCAGGAGTCGGCTCGTACTTTAACCGCCATTGACGTTAAATGTTAACTTAATCCTCTGCCTGCTCTGTGGTAAGTGGGGTCACGTCACATTAGAATTGATCATCTTAACGATCTTAAATGGACCCACTTTTCTCGCCGCCAGTTTCGCTCTTTTTGTATCCATGTCTTTCACGGCATGCTTTAAAGAGGTCGTACGCATATCGAGAATCACTAAGTCGTTAGCTTAAAATTCGACTAGATACAATCGACGCTTTTGGTCGTAACACTGTTTTTGCGTAGCTTGAGCTTGTAGGATGCCCTTACGGGCTTAATCAATGATCTTCTTTCTTGTTCGGCAAACTCTTTCACTTGGACGTCAATCACTTTTTGTGATCCGTTTGCTCAAAGCATTTTTTGCCAAAGGTAACACTCTTCCTTCCTACATCTATTCCGGAAAGGAAGTATCCTGTGGATGCGCTAACGAGCGCAGCATGGACGCATTTGATACTTCCCAAGTACTCTGTCCGATCTGTGCCATGATGTGATCCTACATATCTAAGTGTATATTCGAAGACTAAGTTTTGTTGCTCGGTTTTTCCATCAGCCTGAGCGCGATGAGCGGTTGTCACACTTAGGCGTACGCCAGTGGTTGTGATCAGCTGAGGTAAACTTGCAATCTCTGTCACTGTTGATGACTTCGGGTAGACCATAGTGACGTACTACAACATCAAGAATAAATTGGCTCTTGCCTTTGCATCTTCCTTAACGTGCACAGCCGCGTACTTCGTTCGTTTTAAAAAATTGTCGACGACCGGTTATATAACATCGAATCAGTTTGAATCGGAAGGCCTGTGATGAAGTTCATTGACACTGCTTGCCATCATGCATCGGAATTGGGATTGGCATTGGAGATCCGTTTTTACGCTGATTATCGTGTTTCCAGCGCGCACACGGCTTGCATGTTTTGATATACTCCTCTACGCCGGTTGTAGTGATTTTCAAAAATATCATTGTGCCACACGCAAGAATGTTATAGGAACACCAAGATTGGCAGCGATGGGGCAAGTCATGGTATTTGGATAATACTTGATCTCGCAAGCGGTTGTCGTTTGTCACGCAAAATTGCGTTAGCCTATTTGCTGAACGCAAAACAACAGTCCGTCTTTTTTGACAGACAATGAACTCGCTTCTGCATATTGCTAAGCGTCTTTGAACTCCACATCCCTTGAATAGCCTTGTTGAAATATCTTACAAACTTAGGTGACAACTCGACGTACGACCCTGTCAGTAAGGCAGCAACTTGCACGACCGCTGAACCCTCCTGAGGCAGTGTTGGCACCGAGGGAGGACAACGTAAACGCGAACCACGTTGTTGGCAACTAGAATCGCACTCGTAAAAATGAATATGACTTGCGGTCGTGTCATCGGGTCGGCGTGAGAGATCATCAGTGACGACGGTTAGAGCACCCTTGATGTGGTGCATAGTAAACGTATGCTAAGAAAAAGTTGTTAAATACAAGCTTCGGAAAGACTTTAGCGTGATAGAGGATCCAGGAACATGTGCAGTTGTCCGTACATATGTCAATCTGATGGTCATGAAGATAATGGCGCCATTTTTATGACCCCGATTTAATGGCAAACAGCTCCTTCTCGTTAGCAGGCCAGTTAAGCTCATGGTCTTTAAATCTTTTTGGAATAAAAAATCTATGGGATGATCATATTAACTTAGAAATCGGGACAAAATCCACCAACTTACGACCCAGATGCATCCTTTGTAAAAAAACGGGCGTGTAAAGTTAGGCAAGGTCAATATAGGTGCAGATTGTAAGGCATCTTTCAGCCGTCTCAAGGCATCGTCCTGTTCAGTATTCTATACCCGCGGTGTATAATTTTTGACCAGACACTTCGTGGTGGAACGATATCGGCAAAATGATGATTAAAGGGGCTGTAGTAACCTGCGCGGCGAAGAAAACTTTGCAATTCCTTGATGGACCTTGATGTCGGCCACTTAGCGATTGTTTCCGTCTTGGTAGGGTCAACGGATAATCCTTTGCTGAAAACGTATGGCCCAAAACGTTGACCTCCACACGGGCAAATTTGCACTTCTTACTGTGGGCGAAGAATTTTCCTTTGCGTGAGACGGAAAACACAGTGTCCAGATGCGTCAAATGCTCGCTATAAGATATAGAAAAGATGCAGATGTCAACTTAACAGACAACAACGAATTGGAAACTCCCGAAAAGAACACGCATTAAGCTCGACCAAATACCAGGCACGCCGCAAGACTTATATGAGCCGCGCACCACTGATATGTTTCACTCGACGTACGAAACGCTGTGCATTTTCGCTATTTGATTTAAGGCGCATCTGGTGGTATTCATGAGCTAAGTCAATGACTGTGAATATATCGTTCCTTGCATAATATAGAATAACTCGTCGATGCGCGATAACAGAATTTTAGGGACAGCCGACTGTGTGTTCTCATTGCGAAAGTCAATAACCCAACGCAACAGAAAGTTCTCGTAGCCGATACAAATCAATTATGAGCGAGAAACACCTTTTCCAGTGCACGGATTTTTTAGGGATGCCAAATACATTTGACACACAAAGTAAAACAGAAATCTCAATTTATCTACGATCTCGATTTTCATTGAAGAACTTCTGCAAGTTTTTTGTTCCACTTGTGACAGACGGAATGGAGGTCAGTTATGTGGTTGAGCGCCAGGCTTCAAAGCAATATCGTACTCCACAGAACGATACGGAGGTAGTGCATCGGGTGATATTTCTGGAAATGCGTCTTGATACGATAAGGGCAATGACTGCAACTTTGCTTCTCGAGGCTCTTCTGAATTGGAAACTTGGTAAATCATAATACGGTGAATGTCTTCGTAGTTTGATTGCTTCAGATTCCGTGCAAACTCAGCAGAGGAATTGATAACCGGCGTGAGGATTGCATTCTGTGGTCCGTCACCATTTTTGTAATGACATGTGATGGGCGCACCAATGCACGATGGGATCATGTGCAGTACATTGACGTTTATCCGGAATTACATCACGGATTATTCATTGGCCACTCGATTACAGGAACCTCCGAAAATTAAT